TTTTTAGATTCTACATGTCATAAAATTGCAAGATGCCCTAATGATTAGACTTGACTATGAAAATACACATGTTCTGGTTTAAGGTTGCATAATGGTCAACAGTCGTACTTTATTATCAATTGTGTATCGTATTTTTATATATATGCAACTTATTAAAATATGATGTTAAATAAAGATAAAAAAACTATACAAATTGAATATAATTTTATATGTCAATTTAAAAGGTGTGAATGACTGGTTGCCTATTTATATCCAAGACTTTCCATTTCTCCAAACCAAACCAGAGATATTAATAATAAACAAAAGGAGGAAATTATAACATCGGCCAGAAGTCCAAGATTCATTCATTCTTGCCCCTGAATTCTAATGGCTCAGGTATTGTTTCTAAAGCCAATTTATTCTCATAATTAATTTTTTTACCCAGAAAATCAAAATTTACATATTCTCATTGAAAATATTAAATAAATAATTCCTGGGTCTTTTTATTTTGGTCATAGCAGAAGGTTGTGCTGAAGATCTTGACTATGACTGATGAGAAAACAAAACAGAGAGCCATAGAAGCAGCTGCAGATATTCTTGGTAGTTTTGTCTGATTCTTTATTACTTTTAAGATTTTTTTTTTGTTGGGTTAGAAAACAAAAATAGATTGATTTGATCTCATATTTTAGTGTGCTTGAATTTAAAAAACAGGTGTGGATTCAATAGCTGCTGATCTGAGTAACCAAAAGTTAACAGTGATTGGTGAAATGGATGCTGTTGCTGTTGTGAAGAAATTGAAGAAAGTTGGTAAAGTTGATATATTGTCAGTTGGGCCAGCAAAAGAAGATAAAAAGGAAGAAAAAAAGGAAGAGAAAAAAGAAGAAAACAAAGAGGAGAAGAAAGAAGAGAAGAAGGAAGAAGAAAAGAAACATTAATTAATATTTTTTGTAATGTGTGTTTTTTGGGATTTTTGATGGGTTATTCTTGAATAAATTTGAGCAATGATATAAGAATTATCCCTTATACTATCAGAAAATAGAAGAGTGTATGATTTACCTTGTTATGCTGATAAATATTTTTTCTCTACTTCATTTTCATTAAAAAAGAAAAAAAAAAAAGATTTGTCCAAAACGATTCTGAGAAAATGAAAAGACATTAATCAGACAAACAAGAAAGGTATTAAAAAAAAAAATTGATCTTTGGCTTTTCAAGCATATTGGCAACTATTGGAGTATTAAAATGGTTGGTTCTGAATATTTGCTTTAACCATGCATGCCTCGTGACGTCAGCCTTGCGCCAAAATAAATATAAGAATAAAAATACTAAATGAACAAAACTACAAAAGTCAAAAACCTATTTGTGCGGATTGCTGTTTTATGAATTGCTACTTGCATTTTCGTGATCAACTTGATTTAAATTGGACAATTATTTTCAGAGCCAAGTCAAATTAGCTATCACAGGTATATTAAAATTAAAAGAAAAAAAGTGGCATGCAATTCTAATACAAATGCTACATGAATCGATTTATAAGACTGTTTAGAAAAATGCTAAAGTTTCGTAATGGGATTATTCCTCCAAAAAGAACTCCAATGAAAAATTGCCACATTAATATTTTTCATGGACTATATCTACGAGTTCATATCTATCTATATATAAAAAAGTTGTTAAAATATTTTTTTAGAAACTTTTGACAAAAAAAAAAAAAAACCTTTGACATTCTAAATATAAAAATCATATTTAAAGCATTTATAATACACGAAATTTAAAAAAAGTCATACTTGGATTCAAAAATTAATTGATTAGATATATTAGTGGGATATGTGGATAAGTCACCTTAAAAAGAGATAAGTCTCTATGGAATATATATCAGAATTGGATCCATAATTATCATTACATAATTATGCGAATCTTGAGTTCAAAAACGGTTGTTTGGTATAAATTAATACGCACTACCACTATCATTTGTTCACGTCATTCACAGAGTTCAGAGAAAAAAAAAGAGATAAATTTCAAAACACATCGATAATATAATGGCGCCAGTCTGGGATACACTCGATTCCGTGAGTAGGAAAAACAAACCTTTTTTGCAGCAGTCCTAATAGTTGAAACGCATCACCAACGGGAGAGATGGAACGTATTTCATATACTGTTTCATGATGAAAAGGTAAATATTTTTATTTGTAATATCAAATTATATAATTTTAAAAAATATTTTAATTCACAAAAAAGAGATAAATTTCATAACACATCGATAATATAATGTCGCCAGTCTGAGATACACTTGATTCCGTGAGTAGGAGAAACAAACCTTTTTTGCACTTGAGAGCAGTCCTAATAGTGGAAATGCATCACCAACATGAGAGCTGGAATGCATTCCATATACTGTTTCATGATGAAAAGGTAAATATTTTTATTTGTAATATCAAATTTATATAATTTTAAAAAATATTTTAATTCACATTTATAAATTTATATTGGAGGGTACATTTATTAAAGGCATAATACGTTCTAAACATATGAGAGCATTTCGAGGTGTACTGAATGAAGGCGAGATGTATGCAATCAGCAACTATGTCGTTGAATTTATTCATGGGAAGGAAGATATCATAACCAACATATGGAAACTTGTGCTTCATGGAAGAACTCATGTTATCAAATATGGTGGGAATTTCCCTCAAACTGGTGATATTTTCCCTCAACATTAGCAATGAGCAAGAGATATCTATGATATTTGGAGTTTGATTATTATGAATTTTATTTTCATTCCATGTCGTTGAATTCCGAATTCTATAATAAATTTTAGTGTTATTATATTTGTTATCGTTATAAAATGTCGTTGACTATTTTTTATTTTTTTTTATTAAATGTCGCACGAGATATTTATGATATTTAGAGTTTGATTATTATGAATTTTAATTTCATTCCATGTTAGTTACATATGAAATAATGTCAATTAATTCTTTCCGAATTGAAAGGTCACATATGATATTTAGAGTTTGATTATTTATGACATATGAAATAATGTCAATCATTTTTAACAAAAAGACCGGGAGATGATGTTGAATTGTGGATGAAGATAATGTCAATTGATTCTTTCCGAATTGAAAGGTCACATATGAAATATATATACCAAGGATATCTAATTTATTAGTTACTTAGGGAGCATGATTGTAGGAGATCAAAATATATCAGTGTAAATGTAATATCAAGCCATATAAAACAAGTTTCGTTATAAGTAATTTAAACATTCTTGGTAAGTTTTAAATTATTATATATAATAAATCGTTTTTTTTATATATATTAATAGATACTATATATGTACTTATATATCTATATATATCTATATCTATATATATTGAAAGAGGTTGATGAAAAAATCATTTATAGAAACTTGATAAAAAATTTGAGTCAAAACCTTTGACTTACTTCTTTTGGAAATTCAAACTACTACTATAAAATAACAATAGGGATTTACTTTAAGTTGAAAAAAAGTTCCCGCCTAAAGTTTTAGATTTTACTACAATTGATAACTTTTTTAATTCTTTGAAAAATTGAGAGTTGATTTGTAATTTGAATTTTAGCGCCGACGTTGGATGTGGTCGAGTCTATCAATGAGTACATGACATCATTGAATTTGTTGGATGGGCGTATGTACTTGAGCTCTGACAGTACATGCAAATCGAATTCTAATAATGATTATTTGTCTAATCTCCATACGCCTGAGTTTTTTTAATAGTATCAAGTGTTCCGGAATACCGAACCATGAGTTGTATTTGAAGATTGAAACTCCAGTCATGTTATTGCGGAACATAGATCATTCTATGGATTTGTGTAATGGAACACGATTGGTTGTGACAAAACTATCCACTCATGTTCTTGAGTGTAAGATACTCACAGGAGATCATGCTGGTGATAAGGTGTTGATTCGCCATAACTCCTTCTGATGTTAGAATTCCTTTCAAGTTCCAGCAACGACAGTTTTCCATTATGGTTTCTTACGCCATGACTATAAACAAGAGTCAGAAGCAATCATTATCTCATGTTGGCTTATTTCTTAAGAAACCAATGTTCAGTCATGGCCAGTTATATGTTGCTGTCTTACGTGTCACTAACCGAAAATGTTTGAAAATCTTAATTTGTGGCGAAGATGACATGTCTAAGAATCAAACCAATAATGTTGTATATAGTGAAGTGTTCAATAATATATGATGTTTTCAGTTTAATTATATGTTTATATGTCTATTCTTATGATTATTGCATTATTACACAATTTATATACAAAAGTGCTTTCTAAAAAGCATATAGATAATAATTTCTCCGTGCATGTGATTACTAGTTAAACTAAAACATCTAATGATTAATACTAAGAGAACGAAATGCTATAGCCATCCCCGTGAGTTTAACTAATCGATTTGTATGTTATGGTCCAAGCCACTATTTATGCACGAAGGTTGTGTGCCTCAAGATTTGAGGAATTTTGTTCAAATACTCACAAACTGTACAAAACCGCAAAGAAGGGCACTGAAAGACAAACCGCGAAAACTAGACGACAGTTTCCTCTATTGCCGCCAAAATCACAAATGCACATTTTCCCATTCAACATATTTTTCCCCCTTAAATCATCACACGCGATGCGCACCGGCTTCCTCGCCGCCGGCGCCGGCGCAGCACCTGAACCTGAAACTTCTGCTAAATTCTCGCCGTTCTTTAATGAAAGTCCAGTTTTCGGTGTCCCCATCGAAACTGAGCAGCTGCTGATTGACGATGCTCTCTCGGTATTCTTGTCCGATGTCCGTCTTCACTTCGCGGACGGTGCCGGTTGTTGAAACGAGGATCGACGGCGGTGGGGGGGAATTCCGAGGTCATAACCACGGAGGTAAGTAGAATTTCCGGCTGAAGACCTTCTTCTTTTAAGCTGTTATTAGTGACTTGTGGCTGTGTTATACTCTGATGCCAATGAATCACCTTAATATTTTGGAGTCTATTGTCTTAATCTGCATTTGACCAATTGCAGATGATATCATTTTTTATGCCCGGAACTGGAGGACAAAGTAAACTGGTTTGGAGGGATAACCATTACTAGACTGCATAGAGAAGATTGTAGCCTCAAGTATGTATTCCTGTTACCTTTTGCTGCTACTAGTTATATTAGAAATGAGGTTCAGCCCGAATACTAACTGAAAGCTGATTTTGGCGCAGCTCAAACGATGTGGGTGTTGACTGGTGCATCAATAGACAACTATTGAGTGCACTTGCCATTTTGCACGTCTGTGCGCCTAGTACAGTTTAGATTTTCCTAATAGTTTAACATTTTCTATATTGCTCTTTCAAGGAGGTTGGCTTTTGAACTCTTATTTAGTTATGTTTGTGAAGACGAATATTGAGTTAACTTCCTAAAATCAGGAGCAGATGCATGGTGTTTATGCTTTTGGACAATGAAAACAATTTTTTATCATCAGACAAATATGAACCTTGACCTTCATATTCTCTTGCACACCAATCTTTCTTCTGTGTCACGTTGGTCTCCCCAAATTTATTTATTTATTTTCCCTGATATTTGCTGATATTTTAATAATTACGACAAGCAGTGATAATGAGTGCCGATTCTTGGTTTATCTACCCTTGCATTTGTTTCAATAACCTATCGGTTTTTCTTGTACAATAAATCTTTGCAGATTTCCAAACCTGAACTGGAACTTTAACAATATCTATGCTGTCAAAATTGAGGATGCTATTGTTGGTGAAAATATACTGAGGCATGGATAGAAAAAAAAAAAAAAGAATTATATGCTTATTGATTAGGGATATGAATTATTGATGTACAGGTCATGTTCGCTGCTCTTAAATTCTCTGTAATGTCTTTCGCGTTACACATTTTCCATGCAGCTAGTTTTTCTTTCCACTTTTCAGATTACGAACGGCCATGACAAGTTGTTGCCTTTCACCTTCTACCTCTGCAAATCTGAGACTTATTTCTGAATATCTTTCACGCATTTCTTTCAATTCGTCTTCCATGCTTTTGTTTCTTTCCTTTAAGGATGCTACTTCGCTTAACAAGCTGGAACCATCACAACTACCTTCAGACTGCTCATTCTTGTTTAAAGCATACTTTCCAATATGGTCTGCTGGCATAGTCTCCTGTAGCAAATTTAAAAGCTCTTTTCAATACAACCACATAATTAATTAAATTGAGTATAACGGAGGAAAGTTGAAGTGCTTATTTCTTTCAAACTTGTTTTAAAGCATGCCTAATATTTAGTATGTCGTCATTAGTCCTTACTTTTGTCTTTCATTTTTCGACGGCTAAACCAAGAGAGCCATGGAGTTTCATGGTTTCTTATTGCAGATAATCTTTTGACATGGATTTTTGTAATAAGTTTGAGATGTCCTGTTAAATATAGTTTTGTCATAGTTCTGTTCCGTAGGCATTTACCATACTGTTGTTACGGTTAACATACTAACCTGTTCCAATTGATTTGCAGGGACCGCCTGTATGCAATCTCTTTCCACACTGTTCTGCTCTTCTTTGGTATTGTATTTAATACTCTTTTCCTTCAGTGGTGAAGTAATAGAATGTTGTTTCATAGCTCTCTCCTTTTCCTGTCAAATGAACTACCATTAGTACTTACCATTTACAAGCAAAAGAGTGCTTGCTACATCAGACTACCACCTTTCTAAAATTATGAGTTCATAATATATGAAAAACTATGAGTTCATAATATTTAGGTTGTTTAGAATGTCAATTTATGTACCTTCTATTCTACTTGTGTCAAACTAGAAATAGATGTGAAATGCTCATGAATTCTTAGATTGATAATTCAACATTTTCTTTTTCTTTCAAATAAATTTCATCAAAATAATGTCAGAAGAGAGAAACAAATACTTTTGAAATCGTTGAAATCATTCTCTCAGATTTGATCTCGATTTATCATTAGAGCAGTTTATGGTTTCCTTTGGACTGGTGTATACCTGTTCCTGCTTGTGTAAGCTCTCCTGTAATTTGGACACCTCTTTCTTCAGGCCTTCATTCTCCAACTGTACTTCGAGCATAAGACTCCTGACTTCATTGTTCTTGACTCTTAATTTTTTCACTTCTAAAAGCAAGTTATCTTCTTTTGTTTTTTTCAGATCTATCTGAGACTTCATGGAATCATTTTCCTGCATCAAGTTTTCTGCTTCTATCCTCACTGAAGCTAGTCGCCTCTCCAGATCATCCTTCTCCAATTTCCACCTCTGGAATGTCTCTGGTTCTTCCATTGCTTCAGACTGTTTGCTGATTCCAGCAATTGAATCATTTTGCTCTGAGCGCTCTCGAAGTATTGTTTCGTACTGGTCTTTCATTATTCGAAGTTCTTCTTTTGCTTTCTGGAGATCTTCTTCTAGAACTTCATTCTTCTGGCGCAAATCATTAGCTTCTGTAACCGCTTCCTGTGCTAGAATCTCGTTCTCCTCGATTTTCAGCGACATCTCAGCAGAAATCTGAGTGAATTCCTCCTGAAGTCGCTCGGTTACATTTTTATTGCTCCACCTAGCTTTTCTTAAAGCTTCCTCGGCTCTAATGGCCTTTTGTTCCTGCTCATATTTTGCTTCTGTTAATGCTTGAAGACCGTCCTCAAAAACTTGTGCCTGCTTTTCCAGCTCTTTCTGCAGGCTCTCGACCTGGAACTCGAGCTCGTCAATCATATCCAGAGACTCGGAGTATTGAAGTGATTTCCTTTTGTTTTCTGCCTCCAAGCTTGCTACCTGTTGTTTAAGGGTCCTCTCTGTAGCCAAGGATTCGGTATAACTTTGCTGAATTTCCATCTTTTCCTTTTCGCCTTGCTCTATTTTCGAGCTCATGTCCTTGTTCTCCATCTCTAAATTTTCGTAATCCAGAGCAAGCCTCTCTAGATCCATTTGCATCTCCGCTTTCTCTTTCTTGTGAACTTCTATTTTGGAATAGAGGTCGTCAATTTTCTGCTTCAACTTTTCTAATTCATCAATATTTCCACGTTTGCTGCCCGAATCATCTGATCCTCTGCTATCCTCATTAAAGCTCCCATTTGTTCTGGGTGACGCTTCAAAGAAGGCGTCTGATCCACTGTCGAGGGACTTAATTTTGCTGGAGAGTCGCGATATTTCCGTATTTTTCTGGTCCAATTTTTTGCTGAGATCTCTCATTGCAAGAACAAATTCTGAATTTGAATCTTCCGCTTTCTGCAGTTGTGACTTCAATTTCTTATTCAAATCTCTCTGACGTTGGAGCTCTTGCTTGACATTGTCGAGCGAGCTTCTCAAATTTCCAATCTCTTTTTGTGTGGGAGCAGAAAATGCTTCCTCCTCATTCTTGATTGCTGATGAGGATTTAACTCTTTCACACTCTGCTCTGAGGGCATCTTTTTCCTCTTTTAGACGAACAATTTGCTCAGCCAATTGTTGCCCTCTTTGTGTTTCCTTCATAATATGCTTGCGTAGGGATTGCACTTCCAACTCTGCAAGTTCTGCCTTCCGCTCGACTATCTTCATTTGATTGGTCAACCTTCCTGAAGTATTATTATTCGAAGCTTCTCTTACTCCATCTCTTGCTTCACCATCATTGTAATCTGATAAAGCATCTTCTAAGCTTCCATTTTGTTCGTCATGCGGAGTTGACGATTCACTCAAGTCATCACTCTATGAGACACAAGAAACAAAATATCTTCAAAGATCCAAATATTTTTTGGTTGCAAAATTAACCATGGATTTTTTTTTTAAAAAAAAATGAGGAAATCTTACATTAGAAGATTTCGGGTTTCTCTTGTCAAAACTGTAGGAACCCATGTTTTGATCATTTGATTCATCCTCTGGTGCTTCACTATCATCATCATGTCTGATATTTTTCAAAACAGAAAAATGCATTTTCATTATTATGATATCATCAACTTTTTAATGGTCGAATATAACATTGTAACAAAAGAGTGTTATTTACATACACCACCTTGAATCAGGTCCTCCTTGCATCCTCTGAACTGTGACCTGATAATTGTAAACTAGTCTTAGGATGAAATTTTTGCTGTCTGTGAAATTCTATGCATTGAATTCGTAACATATACAGTCGAGAAAGAACTAACATGTAATATTGCACCAGATTTCGACGTCTGTAAAGGCAGAGTTAAATTCAATGGTTTGGTAGCCTCTGCTAGATCTGCAAAATCGAGCGAAACCTCTCCCAAAAAGCCGGCTTTTGACGACCCCTGTGATTATTTTACTAAATTATTGCTCTTACTATACTATTTTATATATCTGTTT